TAATTTCAATACTATTTAAAGCTTTCAACACACTAAGAAGAACATTTCTACTGTTTCTATAGAAAGCAGACAAATTTACATGAGTTTCCTAGGAATGCTCTTACAAATAACCATAAACTGAGGAACTAGAGCAACCCATGTGCTATCTCACAGTCCTGGAGGCCAGAAATCTGAAATCAGGTGTTGATTGGGCTGCGCTTCCTCTTTCCTTGGTAAACTCTAAGGAAGCATCCATTCCTGGCTTCTTCCAGCTTCTGAAGGTTCCAGTCGTTCCTCAGCTCATGGTCACATCACTCCTCTCTCTGCCTCTGTGGTCATATGACCTCATCACAGTTTCTTTGCCAAATCTCCCCTGGCCACTCTTATAAGGACACTTGTTATTAAATTTAACACCAACATAAATAATCCAGGATTATCACCTCTTCTTGTATTTTACTGTGTAATTAATTGCATGGCTTGCCATATTCATATTTTTTGCAGGGTTGCCATTAGGCCACTATAGCTTAGCTCCACAAAAGCCATGTTCTTTCAATATATCCAGTAGATTTACCCCATCCCAATATCCCTGAAATCTCAATCTGTTACAAAATCAATTCTAAGTCCAAAATCTTATCTATTTATCATCAGGTCAACATTTGTAAACTAATCTCAATCTAAATCTCATTATCTTAATCAGGTTTAGGTAAACTCTAGATAGTTTCCATCCTAGGGCAAAAATCTTCATCTGCTGACCTGTGAAATTGGAAAACAACTTATCCTTATGTAAAAGACAATGGTAAGAGAGGCATAAGTTATAGACACTGACATTCCCACAGGGGGAAAATGGAAGAAATAAAAAAGTAACAAGTTCCAAACATGTTTAAAACCCAGCATGGAAAAATCTGTTCGGTTTCTTTTTTTCAAAAGTTTTATTTAATCTTTAATTGATAAATAATAATTGTATATATTTGTGATGTAAATGTGATTGGATTTAAAATCCTCTCTATTAGATATTATTAACTACAATCACTGTTCTGCATATGGAACACCAGAACTGATTCCTCCTACCTAACTGTAGCATTGTATGCATTAACCAACGCCTCTTCTTTTCCCACTCACCTGTCTATTCCTAGCCTCTGGTAACCACCATTCTACTTTCTACTTCAATTAGTTTGACTTTTAGATTCTGTATGTAACTTTGATCATATGGTATTTTTGTCTGGCTTATTTCACTTAACATATTCTCTATGTTCATACACATTGTTACAAATGACAGAATTTTGTTTTTGTTTTGTTTTCCATTACAGACTAAATAGTATTACATTTAGTCTTTAATCCATTTTGAGTTAATTCTTGTATGGCTCAATACTGTGCTCTTTGTGTCTGTAGCTTTGCTTACCACTGCCTTTACATTGTGCATAAAGAACCCGAAATCTTCTGTTTCCTATGAAAGAAACCTTTGACACTATAGCTGCAAAGTTAAGATTTCTGGACACTAAACCTGGAGTTCCATCCTGCAAGTGGTTGAATTAGACTATAAATTGAGTGTCCAACCATGCAGGGGTGTCTTTCTTCTGGGGAAGGCTGGGGCAGCCACAAAAACTGGAAAAGGTGAGGAATAGATTCTCTAGAGCTCCCAGAGTCAGTATACTTCCGCCCAATTTCTGACTTACTGACTTCAGAACTTCAAGAAAATTTCTGTTGTTATATCCCAAACTGTTTGCAGCAATTTGTTAAGTCAACCCTATGAAATTAATATGGTAGAATTAACACAAAATAATAAGCCAATGCAAATATGAAGCAACATTAAGCAGCTTCATTTATCAGTACCCACAGGACAATTCTAAGCACCATTCCAGTAAAACAGAACACATTGCTAGTGGGATGATTCCAAGAATGCTCAGATAGTTCAGTATTAGACAAATAATTATGCTGGACTGAACCATATGAAATTATTTTTTGTATATGGCATCATACATTTTTTACATCAACAGTTTCCTATGAGTAAAGCTAATTTTTTAAAAAATTAAAAGACAGGAGTTACCAATACATACCCATATAATACTTGCTGGTAGTTTCTCTCTTCCCTATCAAGTGAGATTGATATCAACCACGATCATCACCATTGTAAATATTGGAATATGAATGCAACCTAATTAGCACTATCAAATAAAATATAAGATATCTACTTAAATTCTAATTTTAAATAAATAACCAATACATTTTTCTACAACTATATTATTTGTGATAATTGACATTAATATACTAAAAAACCCTACAGTTTATCCTAAATTTAAATTTAATTGGGCATCCAGTAGTTTAAATGATTGAATTTGGCAACACTGAAGATAGCACTAATTAAATATGAGCATCAGTGATATGGGATTTTTTTTAAATCTACAACTTTAGCAGTAATTCCAACTATTTAAAAGGTGTGGAAGATGGGTACTTGAGTAGCTTTCCCAGAGTTACAGTAATAGAAAAATAATAATTATATTAATACTGTATATACCATTTTGTTGGATAAAAGCAAGGGATAAAATAATGTATATATAACTCTACAATATCAAGGCATAAATAAATGAGTATAATTTTTTCTCAGTTTCCCTATACTGGTAATTCAGCCTCACCAGCTTTTCTTTACAAATGAGGTTGTTAAAATATTTCCAATGCATTAATTCAACTGCTTCTAAATTCCTGTCCCAACCTAAAATAATCAACTCATTTCTTCATGGCTCCACATGGTTCCCATCCATCCATCTGTCAGTTCTTACAAAAAAAAAAAAAAAAAATCCCTCAAAATGATTACCCCCACCCTGGAGTAGTAAAATATATATTAGATGTTCATCAACATGAAGCCATATGTCCACAGAAACAGCCTGCACCCTAGCAGTAGGTAGGTCAGTATTGAGGCAAATGATACCTAACTTGCCAGGGGACCTGCTAAGAAATGGAAAAAGAGATGTGTGTCATCTTGAATGCACAGCTTGATAATAAAATCAGATAGGACTGGAGGTCGCCAAAATCCCTCCACAGATTTCATTGAATAATCCAAAAGATATAAAAGCCCACAATAATAAATAAGCGGAGGTGATTGTTTTAAAATCCAGTGTTACCATAAGAAAGAAATGTTAAGCATTCCTAGTAGAGTATACAACTCCGACTTTTAGTTCTAAGGCCTTAAATACCCATATTCAATGAGAAGAAATTTAGACAACATCAAGCCTACCATATGCAGCAGGTTAACTCCAAAAATTGTAGACATTGATCTAAAACTAACAGTAAACCTGCCAGGTAATCATCTTTCCATGAACAGCATGCAGGATTCTGACTGTCCAGCTCCCATAAGCCAAGAGGGACCATTTTTGTTCACACAATTGCTGATAGACAGCAAGTATGCACCATTTCTAGGATAATTTATTTAAATTTTGATGGGGCTTATTGATAAATTAGTCAAAGATAAGTTCTGACCTATTTTTATAAAGAAGGAAGGAGTCAAGGAAATAAAAATTTGATGTGTGGATCCTAAGAGTATGCAACTCCTCAAACAAGATAGGTATTAGTTATTTTGGCAATTCATTACTAGTGTGGATACCTTAGGGAAAATATGGCTTCCAATCGATAGGTTATAATCTTAGAAGCAATTAACTCCTTGAAAAAATATGTAACCTGAAATTCATAATATTTATGTCATATATAAATGCAGGCGTATTGTATATGTGGTCAACTTCTGAGAATTGGTGTTTTTAAGATGTAAAGATACTTTTTTTTTGAAAACTGGTAAAATATTGTAGTGGCTTATCCTTATCAACATCCCTGTGACCTGAGTTTTCTAGATTCTTAATATATGGTTTGGAAATTAAATGATATTTTGCCTCTTGTGTAATCTACAACCCCTGGAAAGGCCAATTTTCCAAGGGAATTAGGAAACAATGGGGAACTTATTATAAGTATTATAGTACTGATCATTCTGTTTACAGGATCCTGATAAAGATCCTCTTTCTAGTTAGCTATTGCTTGGTTGCTGTGAACTAAATGTATGCTTCTTTCCTCAAAATCCATATGTTGATGTCTAATCCCCACTGTGATGTGATGGTGTTTGGAGGTGAGATCTTTAGAACATAATTAGGTAATTCAGGTGAGACCTTCATGAATGGAATGTGTCTTTGCAAGAACAAAGGAGAGATAGTTTCCTGTTATGTGAGGATACAGCAAGTAAGAGGCTGTCTGCAAACCCCAAAGAGGACCCCTGCCAGACACCAGTTATGAAGGCATGTTGATGTTGGACTTCCCAGCCTTCAGAAACGTGAAAAATAAATGTTGTTTAAGCCACCCAGTTTATGGTATTCTGTTATAGCAACTTGAATTGACTGTGATGTTGACCCTTAATATAGAGGAAAACACCTGAATTTCTTCACAGAGAATGATCATTTTTCTGTTCCTGCCAAGAAAATAAACTTTGAGATTGAAGCAGACTTGTGCAAAATTAGTGGGACAAATAAAAATGAAAATTTTCTAGTCTGCTGCTTCTCATAGAGCTTCAACAGGAAGACCAGCATCAGTGGATATTTCCCAGTTTAAAACGGAAGACTGGTCTCTGAATCCCCTTCACTCACCTCACCATGCGAACTTTTAACACTATATCTGTTCCTCTTGGGTGCACGCAGCCTTGTACATCCATCATGCTAAATACTTTCCAAATGTTTAGTTGTTATCTGAAAAAAAGCACCTCATCTTGAAAACACTACCTAGCAGTCCTCACACACTCCTATATCGGAGTTTGTATTCTTTCTATTGATGTACCTAATACCGAATACATATTATTGCACTAAATACAAAACGTGGAGCTTCCATTTATGCTGTAGATGTTATCATTAAAATGATTTTCATAGTTTATTTTAAAACAAAGCTAGAATGGCTTATCTCTATCTCAATTATTTCTTTCCAAAAAGGAAAAAATATAATGCATATTTGAAAAGTATGGAAATCATAATACTGGAAATCTTATTTTTTCCCCACAGCCACTGAACTACGAGAAAAAGAAGTCATATACCCTCAACATAGAAGGAGCAAATACACATCTTGATTTTCGCTTTTCTCACTTGGGTCCTTTTAAAGATGCTACCATGCTGAAGATCATTGTTGGGGATGTAGATGAACCACCACTGTTTTCCATGCCTTCCTACGTCATGGAAGTCTATGAAAATGCCAAGATCGGGACCGTCGTTGGTACAGTTTTGGCACAAGACCCTGACAGTGCTAACAGCTTAGTCAGGTATGGTATGCTTCAATCGTTTAGACATTTAAAGATTTTTATTGCCTCTCACATTAATTAAACATGAATAAAATTACACTTAAAATGTTTTATTTCCACATTGTTTTCTATGAATATAATTAAATTTTAATATTAATTGATTTTTAACTGAGTAGCTTAGCAGATGGATTTTTGTCAGATTAAGAACATATTTACTATCTCTGTGAATGTCTTATTGACCACACATTAATTTTTCCATTTGATTTAATGGATGTGGGCATAATTGATTGAGAAAATTGTTGTAGATCTGTTTAATCACAAACTAGAGAATCCACTGGTCCCTTAATGATAGGGAGTATAGATATAACACAAAACGTGATGAGTTGGGGATAACACGCATCTCTAACTGACTCTGGTTCCTTTGGTCAGACTAGCTGTGTGGCTTTTTCTTTATATGTAAAAGTGGAAAAATAATGTCTATGTCTCAAAGCTATTGTGAAGATGCATGAAGCAATATGCATAAAGCACCCAGCAAAGCGGCCTGTACCCAGTAGTCACTCAATAAATGCTAACTTGTCAAAGACAATATAGAATGCAAAATACTCTAAATACAAGTGTGGGAATGCTATTGTGTATACCTACTAGCTGAGTGATCTTTTACAGTCATTTATGGAATCTCAAATTCCAGATAAGTGAACAAAGAATAGTAATGCTACATGCTACATAAATATGTTGATATGATTCAGTTAGATTGAAATGAATGACTTAGCACATTGCCTAGCACATAATCAGTGCTCATTAAATAATATTTTTTATTTTTAGTACATCATGCTGGAGATATAATTAAAGCTTTTTTGCATTATCGAAAATTTTTTGTGTGCCTCATTTACAACAAAATCAGAAAGGTGGTGTACATGTGTGAAACCCCTAAGATATCCTGTATTTAAAGGTATGGAAATTCTGTCTCTAGAAAAGTTAAAATCCTTAACAATCTTTCTGCTTTCTCCCATGAAGTCCTTGGTTTTCATTCACTTAACAAAAGCTAATATACTAAATAGCCTCCTCAGCATCTACGGAATGATTGTAAAAGTTCTGAATTTCCTTTTTCATAAGCATGATTGTTTCCAGTTAAAAGGAATGCCACAGCACCCATGCATGTAGCCAAACAATTTTCTGGGCACAAGTGTATATAGTCAGCAATCCTACTCCATTTGCGAGTGTAGAAACTATCCTATCACACTAACAGCAAGAGCTAGATAATGCTTGAAGAAGGAGCATAAACCAAGTTACAGAAATCAATCTCCGACTGAGGAATAGAAATCAAAGTTAACACGTTTAATTGCTCAAACAGAGGAAAGCCCATTTTGCTTCAGTATTCCACAGAATGCTATGTTTTTAATTATTCTTTTGACTCCAAACAGTAAGCATAAGTTGTTTAGGTTTTTAAAAAATGTAGCACCATAAAAGAACTGTACAAATGAGGATTTCTTTACCAAAAGCAGTCAATATCTTTTGAGATTAGAGGTAGTTCAGGATATACGTTTGCTGTGAAAATATTAAATAAACATTGACGAGATTTTTTTTGAAAATTAAATTTGATACTACTGATACTTAATGTAATTCTTAATTTAAAAAGATAGGCAGTGCAGCCACTTATGTTTATTTTTTATTATTAAAAAAGCTGTACATTTTAGGAGATACATGTGAAAATTTGACACATTCATATAATCAAATCAGGATAGTTGTGAAATTCATCACCTTAAATATGTATCATTTATTTACACTAAGAACATTCAAATCATTATCGTCTAATTGTTTTAAAAGGTACAGTTGAATGGGTGCAAATATATATATTTAGATGGGAGAAATTGAATCTAGGGTTTAATAGATCAGTAGAGTGACTATAGCAATCACTTTTAGACTGTGTTTTAATCACTTGTAATGTACAATATTACAATAGTCCTCAAGATAAAGAATTCCGCATGTGCGTGCATGCACGCACACACACACAGACACACACACACACACAGAGACACACACACACACACACAGAGACACACACGCAGCATCTTGACTCCCTTGGAAAAAATTATGCCTGTGGCGCAGCCAAGTTGATGTGTACAATTAAGCATCACACTGTGTTTAGAGTAATAATGGTCTGAGGGAGGTGTGTATGGAGATTGTACTTCCAAACTTTCTGGAGGCAATGAGCTGAGGAAAATTAAATTGAGGCTCATAATCCAATTAGAAATTAGAGAGGTGAAGAATGAAGGAAAGAATTGTAGTTTGTTTTACATGAGGAGCTTGGGTTACCTGTGGGAATAGCAAGTAATGAGATTGGAGAGATAGGTTAGATACAGGTCATAAAGAGGCTTTCTGCAATGGTAAGGTCTTTGAAATTAACCCTGGTAGCAATGCCAGTAGGGAGAGAAATGAGAGGAATTTTGAAAATTATAACCAAAATGATGACAGGAAAATTTGCATTTCAAAATAAACAATAACAACTTTTAGAATAATGTGAAAGGTCAACTATATGTGATGAAATGTAGGCCAATGGGGAGGAATTGAGGTCAAGGACAAATATGTTTTAGCATTATTCTTTTTTTTTTTTTTTTTTGAGACATTGTTTGCTCTGTCACCAGGCTGAAGTGCAGTGGTGCTGTCTCAGCTCACTGCAACCTCCACCTCCCGGGTTCAAGCAATTTCCCCAGCCTCAGCCTCCTGAGCAGCTGGGACTTCAGATATGCACTGCCATGCCCAGCTTATTTTTTGTATTTTAGTAGAGATGGGGTTTCACCATGTTGGCCAGGATGGTCTTGATCTCCTGACCTCGTGATCTGCCCGCCTCAGCCTCCCAAAGTGCTGGGATTTACATGTGTGAACCACTGCACCCAGCCATTTTTTTTTTTTTTTTTGAGACGGAGTTTCACTCTTGTTACCCAGGCTGGAGTGCAATGGCGCGATCTCGGCTCACCGCAACCTCCGCCTCCTGGGTTCAGGCAATTCTCCTGCCTCAACCTCCTGAGTAGCTGGGATTACAGGCACACGCTACCATGCCCAGCTAATGTTTTTGTATTTTTAGTAGAGACGGGGTTTCACCATGTTGACCAGGATGGTCTTGATCTCTTGACCTCATGATCCACCCGCCTCGGCCTCCCAAAGTGCTGGGATTACAGGCTTGAGCCACTGCGCCCGGCCGCACCCAACCATTTTGTTATTCTATATGTTCCAACATATACAAAAACACCCTTTTTCACATAGGACTGTGATTCCCACGTGGGAGCAAAATCCACTCCTCACCAGGGATAGTTGGAAATGTCTGGAGACATTTCTAGCTATTACAGCTTGAGATAGTGTCTTAGTAATTTTAGACTGCTATAACAAATTACCTTTGACTGTGTGGTATAAATAGGAAACATTTATTTCTGACAGTTCTAGAGGCTGGGAAGTCCAAGATCAAAGTGCCAGCCTATCTGGTGTCTGGTGAGTGACTGCTTCCTGATTTGCAGAGAGCCCTCTTCTTCCTACATTTAACATAGTGAAGAGCAGAAAGGGAGAAAGAACGCAAACTCTTCCATTTGTTTTTATGAGAGCACACATCACATAACGAATGCTCCACCAATTTTCTCCCTTAGTTAGTTTGGCTGCTAAGAATTACCATAGTCTTGGTGGCTTATAAACAACTGAAATTTATTTCTCACAGTTCTCAAGGCTGAGAGTCTGAGATTAGGTTGCCAGAATTTTGGGGTTGTGGTAAGAACCCTCTTCTGGATTGCGGACTGCTAACGTCTCATCTCCTCACCTGTTGGAAAGGTAACTAGCTCCAAGCTCTTCTTGTAAGGGCACTAATCCCATTCATGAAAGTTCCATTATCATGACCTCATCATCACCTCCAGAAGTTTGTACCTCCACATGCCAATACATTATGGATTAGGGTTTAATATATGAATTTGGGGGAGGAAGATAAAAGCATTCAGCTTATAGCAAGTAGGGTGTTAACTGGTGTCTAGGGGTGGAAGTCAGGGATGTTGCTAAGCATTCTGTAACTCACAGGAGCAGCTCCTACAGAAATTGTCTGGCCCCAAGTAAATAGCGCTAAGGTTGAGAAAAGCTGACAGAGAGTAAAACAAACTGAAAGATAAATTGGTAAAACTGGAATACTAATTGTATTCATGGGAGGAAATTTTGAAAATATATTTTTCGGAGATGTGTGTCTATACATACAAATCATATACGTGAATAGTCATGTGAATGTTTCAATGTATACTTTCAATCAATTAAAATATGATGCCATTAATTGTCTCAGTAATTTGCCTATATCATTGGGAGCACTTAAGTGAACACTCACTATGAAACCTGCACTCTCCTGGTTGTTGAGAGGCCAAGATGATTGGTACATTGTTTCCAAATGCTAAGAAGGGAAGCATAAATCTATTAGCATATACATTATTCTTTCTGCTTTGTTTTAGTTAGAGAGCTAAAATGAATGCTGCTAAAGCTGCCTTAAAATAATTAGACTCCATAGCTGCTGTTTGGAGACACAATTTACGTAATATTTATTCTTGATTTTAATAAAAATGTGTCATTCACATGGGGTCCTGGGTACAAATAGTGAATAAAAAAACAGAAAACATTAACAAAAACAAAAGGAAGCCTTCTGCTTCCACATTTCTCAGGGACCAAGTGTTTGTACTAATTAAGGAAAAGCACATTGAAAACATGTACTTTGCAATGTGCCCTGAAATGCAATTAACTCCAAGTTTGTGAAGTTGGTAATGAAAGGGAGCTTGAGTTTTGCAAGCATTTGTGAAAAGCTTCCTGACTTCAGTCTTTTGTATTTTACTATAGTACATTTATACTTAAGTTGTTTGTATTTTACTATTACACTTTCATGACTTATTAGTAAGCCTCTTCAGATTTCATAGAGGATATAATGTCTAGGTTTTGTCTGTTTTAACTCAAGATGTATAATTTGCAGCAATATAAAATATATGTAAAATGTAAAATGAATTATTGTTGAG